TATATATATATATATATATATATATATATATATATATATATATATATATATATATATATATATATATATATATATATATGTATATATATAATCTAACTGGGCTACTTATAGTAATATGAGGCTTTCCAAATTAAATTTACAATTATGAGTGATCTTGTTAAATCATCAATCCACTCAAATCATTTCTTATTGAAATCCATGAATTTAGCCAAGTATTATAAAATGTTAGAGAGATATCAAAGCTAAGACAACTATGAGATTATAAGGTATACAAAATAGAGCCAGAAAAGGTAACATTCTAGTCTCAAACAATTGAATCCTAATAATTTTAATTATCAATGCATTACAAGTGGCATATATATCAGAAGTGTTAATAAGTTACTGGACAAATGACATCGGCGGGAAGTTGCAATTTCTCTATAGATATATGCAAAGAATATCTGCACTTCTTTCTTATTGATCTATTGGGTCATTCAAATCTTCAGTTGAAAATATTCAACTTTTAATTAGTTTAAACTATAATTGAGGCAATTTGAGACAATTCTTTTGCATAATTCATTTTATCAAATCATTACAATTATCTAATAAAAAATAAATAAAAATTTTCCGGAAAACTTTGCAAATTTTGCTAAAAAAGAGCTAATAAAGCAATGAATAAAATATCGAAAGAAAATTAAATTGTAAAACTGCAATATTTATAAGAATAAATGAACAAATGAAGCAAAAATAAACGTCAGTGCAAACTTTTCCGGAAATTACAAATCAGGAATGCAGTAGTTGTTATACGCTAAACAGGAAAAAAGTAAATGAATGAATGAGTTCATCTATTAAATGGAATGTAATTTAGTAAAAATATGCAAAATATTTTACAAATGCTAAAAATTAAATATTGCGTATTTCAATAGTGAAAATTTAAAAAATATAATTTTCCATTCAACAGATGTCTAACAAAATAACCCGATAATTTATTAATTAAATAGATGTCTAACAAAGAAAATAATTCGACAATTTATTGATTATTTGTTAACATTGATAAATTTTTTTTTGTTAAGCATTGACAAATTTTTCTAAAAAATCTGAAAAGTTAAATTTTTAAAAAATTCGCGACACGAAATCATAATTAATTTATTTGAAATAAGTATAAATATGTTTGAAACAACAAGAAAAACAAAATAAAATCTCACATAATTTGGTTAAAATTTAGCAAACAGTCAGTTTTTTTTTTTTGGAGCTTTTTTTTGTCAGTATCTTCTGAAAACTACATCAATGGAACAAATTATAATACTGCTCTATTCATTCTATTTCTCTCATTTTCAAATTCATGGTTAAATTTTTTTAAAAAAAGGCTTTATTTCTATAAACTTTTTATTTTATTGAAAATTAGAATACATGTTCGGAATGACAAAATTTTATGCATTTGCTGATTTGATAATGTTAACTTTGACATGCTTATCATTGATTATATCAATCTTTTCATTCTTTCACATTTATTTCAAGCATTCATTTCGTATTCTTTTCTAGCTACATTAATTTCTACAAATCTTATATCTTATGCTTTCAGCGAAAAAAAAAAGAGAAAAAACAATCAAAACAAGTTTGCATATTAAACAACAATATTTTAATTTGTTTTGCCAAAAAAAAAAAACAAACAAACAATGGTATCAAACGCGATACAATTGACAGACAGCTCATCTCTTATCTTCGTTTCTTCTTTTTTGATTTCTGCAAATATTAAAATTCAATTGCAGTTCAAATTTGTTAAAATGATCAGTTCATAGAAAAAGGCATCCAACATTTTTTAAATTATTACCCTAAGCCTACGGTAATCTTGCGGTTACTGTATATGGGTATGTATATTCACATGACTTTATGTGATATACAACTCATGTCTTGTCTTCGCCTCCTTTTTTGACTTCTATAAATAATGGAATTAGGTTATAATTGAAATTTAATCGTTAAAAACCGTAAAACAATGCCACTAACGTCTTAAAATTACTAGCCCAAGCCTACGGTAGTTTTGCAGTTATTGTACATGTGTATATGCACGACTTTGTGCAACATTAATATCCCAAGTCGATCAATATCACGTTGTTGAATTTTTTGTATTTATACACCTTTAAATTTTAATGAATTTTGTTTGTCTTTACACAAATAAACTACTGAAGAATTTTATGAACTAAATTTTCTGATGAACCGAATTGAAATAAATTTTACCAATTAAAATGTAATAAGCTTTAAATTGAATGACATTGCCCAATGAATTAGAAATAAATTGCTATGTAATAATTAAAAATTATCATACATATGTCGTCCTCCTCTTCGATTTATCTGCCGATATTTCTATTTCAATGGCTGTCGCTTTTGGGATAGTGATTTGTTTGAGGTTTTGGATATTGATTCTTCCCGATGTTATAGCAAGAAATTTACGTGATGCATTAGTTGTAGTAGTTATTCGAACATTATTGGTATTAAATTTTTGGAAAAGAGCACAATTAGATGATTGAGGAAGATTACTCCAGAAATCATCGATATCATCAACGAGTAAAACGAATAAGCAATGCAAAAGATCAGCAAAAGCATCACTAGCATTCCAAGCTGTTTTAAAATTTTGTGATAAATCTGCAATATTTGATAAATGATTGTAAAATATTTTTTCGTAATCAATTGATTGTTGATCAGATAAGTCATTAAGGGGTATATGTCGTGTTTCTTCAACTATTGCTTCCGCTTCTTCACCAGCAATAATAGTTCTGCTAAAAGCTGCAATATATTCACAGAGTTCACTTTGAAGATTAGCTAAATATCGAAATTCATCATCTTTTCCTGGTACTAATTCCTTCTCGTTCAATTTCAGATATTCAGTAATCTTATCAATATATTCAATTATATTCCAGATACGATTTCGAACGCTATGCGCAAATGTAATGCAAATATTGAAGTCGTTTTTGAAGGATTTTGATTGTTCGATTGTGAGTACATTGTTACATTTCATCTTTTCACCCATTATCTTCTTCGTATGAATATCCTGTAACATTTGCGCCGCATTCTCAAAAACAATATTGTTGAATTTTTGCACTGAATTACTACTTACAATTATAGATTTAATTATAGTTCGCACAATATTTGCTTTCTTCAGTTGTATTTGCGCCTCTATTTCAGGATTTATTTCTTCGGTTTTCCATGTTATTTCGTTTATTCCGGAAGTTGATGCATTTTCACCATCAATAGGTTCGATCGTTTTAAAAGCCACTTTTTTTGCTTTATATGTTACAGTACTACTAGGAGACATCTTAGGGATAGTTTTGACAACAGGACAAATTACTTTTTCTAATTTAGAAGTAATAATTTCCATCATTTTAGAAGTTTCATAATCCCTTTCAAAAGTAGCTCCGAACATTTTGTTATCTGTCTCATCAATCATCGAACTACTCATATCTGTTGCTTCCGAAGAATTTTTCTTCAGATTAATTATCCTCTTTCGAAGTTGTGAGAAGACATCCATATAGAAAAGTTTCCTAGATCTTATCCAATCTGTGGCAAAATTAGCATAAGTCTGAGCTTCAGCCAAGGTATTATCTCGTTCGGCCAAATCATAAGATATATTGTTTGATTTCATATCTGCATATCGCATTTCAAGGAGGAATGGCATCATATTTTGCATCATAAACGCTACCAAGTTATAATGTTCTGAACAAAAATAATGTTTTGTGATAATCGTAACAATTTCATATTTGTTTTATTAAAACGATTTTTATAAATAGTAAAATTCTCTCGCTATATGAATATATAAATGGAATATGCTTCCGTTAAATAGTTTTTTAAAACTTTTGAAATGAATTGGTCCTGTTTTTTTAATTAAAAAAAACGAAATAATCTAAATGACGAAAACATAAATTAGAAAACATTTTTTTTGGTAATTTTCACTTCCTTTTTTGTCCAAAAATTAAATTAATGAAAACAATTTGCATTAAATAAAATCATTCTTCGAACTTCTAAACAACACAAATGAAATGTTTATTTACAAAAATGCAAATTTACTTACCTTTAAAATTTTCCATATAGTCTATTAAAATCTCACAAGCCAACTGAATCTCATCAAATGGTCCTGTCTTTTTATAATTGCCAGCATCCTAAAAAATTTTTCTTTTCAAAAAATTTGTAATGTCATAAGCAATCAAATGATATAATTATTATTCGGTACTGTCATTTGTATGTTTTGCAATTTGTTGCAACTTTCTCAGCCTTTCAGAATTTGTTTTCTTTGTTAAACTATAAATTCATTACTAATCATTCTATGACATAAATTATAGAACATAATTGAATTGGAAATTGATGTATAAGTTAATATTGAAAAATTGCAACGATGAATGTTTCAAGTAGGATGAATATGGTACATGAAAACTTTTGATGTCATTTTTCAACTGATAAAAACAAAGTAATACAATAATGAAAAATAAAGTAATGCTTGAAAACATTTTGATCAAATTTTTACTGTTTTTTTTCTTTTGAAAAACTTTTGCTATTTGTTATTTTATTTTGAGAAAGCAACACAAATCTATTAAAAATTTACAAATCCATCAAACTGACTTTTCTGGAAAAAAAAGCCTTCACATTTTTACTTGTGACATTAATATTATTTTATGTGGCATTAATATTATTTATGCGACATTAATATTATTTTATTAATATTATTTTATGGAACAAAAAAAAAACTTTTGATATTCCAAAAAAAAATGCCACGAAGTTAGCATTAAGACAATATTTTTACTACATGCAATCAATTCTTCAATAATTAAAGTAAATAAAAAAAATTAATGAAATAAAAAAATGTTAGGGATAAAACCAAAAGAAAAAAAAACAAATCCCAAAATTATAAAAAGTGAAAGGCAATATTTTGGAATATCCATGTAGAAAATTTGAATTGTACTTATCATATAATAAGAAGGGAAAACAATAATAATAATTATTAAAGAACAATGATTAAAAAATAGGAATATATGAAGGAGATATTTCCAAAAAACCGAATTAATATTTTAAAATAAGAGTAAACGACAGTAGACAAATTACAAAAAATGTTTAATTCGTGAAAAAAAAAAGAAAGATTTTGGAATTCATATCTTTTTTAGCTAACATCAAAATTTATAAGAGCAAATTTCCTCTGCCAAAAAAAAAAAACCAAAGACAATCAAAACTAAGAAAAATAAATAAGTGTTTTAAAAAAGCTAAAAAAACAAGAAAAAGAAAATTAAAAGAAGATGAAAAAGTTGATGAAAATTTCCATAAATGATTATTATTTCAATTAACTTTTATAATATGCTATTTCGTACTGCTTGCAATAATTATCATATATCATTTTATCAGTTAATGAATTAAGTTAGTATCAAGTTTGGCTTTAAGTAAGTTTTATTTTTTATTTCTTTTAAAAATTTTTTAACAGTTTCCAATTAATAATTAGAAAAAAGCATGCGCACACAAAAAGTATGTATTTTAGCATTTTTAAAAACTTATATAAAAATATATTTACATTTTTGTTGACGAAATAATAACATGAAATTTTCTTAAATTTCATTTTTTTGGAAAAATATTGAGAATGATACGATATATGCAAATTTTCAGTTAAAGAATATTTGTAACTATTGGAAATCTCCAAAAATTATGGTAAATTAAGCAAAGATTTTTTTAACTTCAAAAACTAATTAACTTCAAAGTTTGTACCAATCTAGTTAATTTTATTTGGTTCAAAATGGCATTGATGCATTCCAGAAAATGTCACACCAACAAGATTATAAGAATTATGAATTTGTGAAATAGTCAGCAATTATCAATGATGATAGTGATAAATGAACAATTCACAATTTTCAAGAATAGAAATTAATTTTTCATAATTTTAATTCCTCCTTAAATCATTGACAGATAGTTTGTGTTGCTAATTTATTTGTTAAATCCATTAAAACATTAAACGAAAAATTTATTGTTCTTTTGAATTTCAATCAAAAAAAAGAGTAAAATAATTCGAAGAAAATAAAATTAGAAGTCATTTTATTTCCAAAACATTATGTAAAATTAACAGTATTCATTTGAAATATTCAAAAAAAAACTATCTTCTGTTTTTATTAATATTTAAAATTTCTTTTTTCATTAACATTCAAAACATTAAACTACAAACTACTGCCTATTATCTGCTATTTACTGATTATTTAATTATCTGCTATCTACTAATTATTTACTATTAAATTTTAATGATAAATTAAACAAATTTAAATCCAACCTTCTAAACAACTTATCAAGCGAAATTGATAATAAAATAGCAAAAAAAGAGCTAATGAATGGTTTAACCTTTTCTTTCAGAAAATTCCTGAATTGTTCCAGTGGTACATTCAAAACATTTGGAATATTATATAATGCAAATGCAAGTTCCATTTCCAATTCTTGATTTGTTAATTTATAATTTTTCCAATCAATACAAAAATCGCTTCCGTCGTTATTTGTCTAGAGAGAAAAAAACAAATTTTCGAAAAATTTTCAAGCAAAAATTTAAAAATAGAAATGAATGACAAATTGGTTATTAAATTCAAAGGGAATTCATAACTTCCCTTCATATTTAACAACAATCAATTGATATATTTTCCAGGCTTATAAGCCATCTGCTAATGTCGAATAGAATATTGTTGAATGAAATAATACGGAATAGTTTCCAGAATATAACATGACTTAAAGTTATTTTAATCATTTGATCCAAACAATATTTTCTGCCTTACCTTAATGAAATCAATAAATATTTACTTAAATAAAAAGAACAAAACTTTACAATGCAAAATTTTAGAGATTCTTTAAATAAACAAGAAATCAACAATGTTGATTTAATTATTTCATTTTCTAAACAAAAACATTCTCTTACATTTTCATCCTCATCAGAGTTTTTTGATGCTTGATCTCTGCCATTATCATTTTGATTCGGTGCTTCTGAAATACTTTTGAGATTCTGTTTTTGTTCTTCCGCCATAACATCTGCAGTACATAAATGGATTAAAAGAAAAAAAAAAAATACGTGTCACTTTGATATGGTACATCTGAAAGCGCATTTAGATTCTATTCTAATGAATTAAAAGAGAAGAATATGTACCATTTTGATTCGATGCTTCTGAAACACTTTTGGGATTCTGTTTTTGTTCATCTTCCACAATATCTGCAGTGTATAAAATGGATTAAAAAAGAAACGTATCATTTTGATTAGCACATCTGAAGATGTATTTGGATTCTATTCTAATAAATTAAAAGAGAAGAATATGTACCATTTTGATTCGATGCTTCTG